TTAAAACCAAAATACTCTAAATAATAATAATCTAATAAATAATAACTAAACTAAATTATTAAAATATTGGCATTCAATGCTAAAAATGCTAAGCCCATTAGCATTCTTATCCAAAAGGCTACTAAGGGCATGGTAGAAACTTGACATTATTTAAAATATCACCTTTCCCTCTCATCTCTCCACCAAAATTTCTTTAGTTACTTTTATGTTTCTCTGATTTAAGATTTTGATCCCTTATAAAATGTACTTCTCCTGGATTCTTAAGCTACTATCATTTTTACTTTAGAAATGAAGAGTTGGCATGAAGAAGGGAGACTGAGAGAACCAAGATATGGTTGTTATTGGTTGTTATATGGTTGTTATTAAAGTTGGTGGCATTGAAGGAGTAATGGGGAAGTTGTGCTCTGGGAGGTGCTCCAAGACTAGTTCAGTGATTTCATAACTTTGTGCAAGGCAAGTTCCACCTATAGTATCATTGTAAATAATAGTGACAGGTTGAACTAGCTTGGTGACTTAGCTTGTATCTATTTTGCTTATAACATATACTAACAGTAGTTAGATTCTTTCTAGAGAATAATGCTTGATGAGTGGCATTGTTTATTGGGTCCAGTTACCTGTTCATTCTGTAAGGTAACATTATAGTGCATCATAGTTGCTATCTAGATATAATTCCCATATCTGTTGCATTTTTTTTCTCTGGTATGCTTGTTTCCTCTCTGTTAATTGGACATCCTTTAAATCTCAGCTCCAATGCTACCAAACTTTGGCTCTTTTCTTTTTTTTTTGTATTGCATTGTTTCTCACATGTACTTCCATTTAAACTATTAAAATATTATTGTAATTTTTTATTGTAGCAGAGGCTAGTAGTTAAGAGCACAAGGTCAGGGGCTGCCTGAGTTTGAAAGTAGCTCTACCATTTAGTAGGCAGGCTTCTCAATCTTTCTGTGCCTCAGTTTCTTCATCTTCAAAATGGGGGAAAGAAGGGTATCTATGCATCTATCTATTGGGTTATTATGAGAGTGAGGTGAGTTAATACACATAAAGTACTTACATGGTTCTTGGTACGTGTTGAATTCTAAATAAACAGTAAAGATGATGGTGTCTCTTTAACAAACTATTAGCTCATTGGAAATTGGGACTGTCTTTAGAAAAAAAAAAAAGCAACAACAACAAAATCCCATCT